CACGAACCGGAGCAGGGCGACGGCCTCCCCGGCGCTGAGCCCGGCGCGGTACAGCGTGCTGTGCGAGGACTTGGCCACCACCTCCCCGGGAGCCTCGAGGATCGCGGCCACCGTGAGCGCCTCGCCGCCGGGGAACCGCAGCAGCGCCTCCTCCCCGCCGGCGATGTAGCCGCCCGAGGCGCTGGCCGCCTGGAACCGGTCCGCCCTCGCGCCGCCGCCGTGGGAGGGCAGCACCGAGCGGCGGCGGCGGCGGCGGACGAAGTAGAAGATGGCCAGAGCGACGACCACGGCGAGAGCCGGGAAAAGGACGGCGTTGATGACCGCCTTGCGCATTGCTCTGTTCTAGACTTGGGCGGGCGCGCTGTAGATCGGAGCAAGCACGGCGTGCTTGGTTGCACTTGCTGGGGTAAATGGGCAATGGGAAAAGGGTAGGGTAATGGGGTGTGGTGGTAGGGTTTGGAATTTGGGAGAGAGGTGTGCTTGAGCGTGCTGCTTTGGGGCTGCTCTGCTGTGGTCTGCTTCTGCTTTCCTCTGCCTTGCGCAGCCTCTGTGCTATTCTTGCCGTTGGGACGGGGGAGAAGGCTACTAGACAGGCGATACACAGCCTGTTAAGCTTGTTTTCAGCGGTGTTTATCAGCCGGCCAACACATCAGTACCAGCCGAGCCGGACTTATCAGTCCAGTCCAGAAATCAAACAACAAACATGCTCATGGGCTGCGATTCCTTTCGTTTCAGGAAGGCTCTTTCTTTTATTTGAGAACTGAGAGGAAAGTTGTGTGAAAAATTTGAGAATGTGCTCTGGGCCGATGACTACGACTGTGACTCTGTGAGAAAGGGTGGAGGCGAGAGGCGAGAGGCGAGAGGCGAGAGGCGAGAGGCGACGATGTTCTTTTGTTTACTTCCAGCCTCTCAGCGGTGTGTCATGAGAATTTTACTAGTAAGTCGCAAGAAAAAAGAGAATTTTACTAGTATTAAATAAACTACTAACTTGATAAATATACCGAGGGAAATTTATACTAGTATTAAATAAACTACTAATAACTTAACAAACATACAGACATAACATAATATTGATGAAGAAAAGGACAGTTAGTTTCACATTTTTAAGGACCACAATTTTATAGGCGTAAAATTAGTTTCACATTTTTAGAAGGACCATAATTTTATAGGCATAAAATTAATTTTACATTTTTTCAACGCATAGAACCTTCGAAACTAGACACGAAACCTCCAGTGAGAATGGTGTTAGAGTTTGCGGAAAATTAGTATCACACTTTTTTCAATACATAGAACCTTCGAAACTAGACACGAAACCTCTAGTGAGATTGGTGTCAGTGCTTGTTTGATTGCACTTGTATTCGTCTCAATCCATATGAGTTAGAGTGAATTAAAATGAAAATTAGTTAATTTTCCACCCTAATACATAAAGAGTGCATGTTGAAGGGTTTCGGTGTGCACGTGCATAAAGAAAAATTTACGAATGTTTTTAATAGTTGTTGGGTAGGTCTAGCTAGCTTGGGTTTTATAGGTTGAATTTAGTACTTATTCCTATTAGGCCTTGTTTAGTTGGCGAAATTTTTTTGGAAAATGGTACTGTAGCACTTTTCGTTGTTATTTGGCAATTAGTGTCCAATCATAGTCTAATTAGGCTTAAAAGATTCATCTCGTGAATTTCGTTTAAATTGTGTAATTAGTTTTATTTTTTATTTATATTTAATACTTCATGCATGCGTTCAAAGATTCGATGTGACGAGGAATCTTGAAAAATTTTGCAAAATTTTGAGAAGTAAACAACACCTTAGTTCATCTCTTCTTAGCATGGTTCTAAATATCACATTCTCAAATACTACTACGTATTTGCCAATCGTCCTACCATTGAAGTTAATTACACTTTAGCTCCAGGGAGAAAAAAAACCGCTATTTAACTTAGCCATTGAACATTTTTTAGCGCCGCTAATCCTACTGAAGGCAATATTCATCTTCTACTTATAGATGACTACATCTATGCCTCACCATTATAGGTGATTATTTCCTTCGTCTCTGATTAAATTAATTTCTATAGTTATTTTTGAGTTAAACATGAAAAGGAAAAATGGTACACTCCAATCGTGGAAATGGCAGATTCGGATGACTCTTTCTCAAGCATTGTTAGGATACGGCCCTTGCATTGCATTGCATCTGCCCCTCGTATGCCGGCGTGTGATTGGAACAGGCATTGAATTTATATGCCGTTCTCTAATTTTCGTTACTATTAGTAAAAAAGTGTGAAGGTGCCTGTGTGTCGTCCCCGAAGATCAAAACGATGCCGTGCAGAAAAGCTACGATTTAGGACAGAAATCTGTGATCTGTTGAGAAAAGGAATTTCACTTGATTTTGCTGTTGCTCGGTCGAACGAACTATCGCCCTGTTCGTTTGGATTTGTTTTTGGTGATAAGTAAGTGCTACCGAAAAGATCTGGGTTTTGATTTAGTGTGAGAGAAAAAAATGTTCGATTGGTTGAAAAGACGAACATAAAGCCAAAACAAGTCCATAAGAAAAGGGTGTAGAATGATTCTTCTTCCATTCTGATCGTGTCGCGTCGTATAAAACCAAGCAGATCCTTGTTTTTTTTTATACTACACATATATATACTCTCTCGTTTTTTTAATAGAAAAACTGAAAAACTTGTATAGTCCGTACCTAACGAATGGTGTGAGACGCCAACCGTAGCCGACGGCCAGCACTCACGTATATTACGTATAGCTAGCGCCGATGTGTACGGCGTACTGGCAAGCGCGTGCGTCAGGACCGACACAAACACAAACAAGCCGCGTGCGGCGTGCGCTTGCTTGAGCCGTGTCGCCGGTCAACGGATGGCCGGCACACTGACACTGTGCCGTCGTGGGCGCGAGCCGCGAGGTTCCCGGCGTGCTGGGCGTGGTATCCGGCCATCCGGGTAACCGGGTGGCGCCTTCCCCCCTGGCTGTCTGGGCAGTGGGCAGCACGCGTGGTGGGAGCCGGAGAACCTTTTTATTTTTTGAGCAGATGGTGGGAGAACCGAACAACCAACTCTCGGTGGGCTGCAACTGCGCTTGTTATATTGGGGCCGGCCCGAAAGCTCAGCGGTACACTTGGGCCGGGTGTCTGGGCCCATGTCGCTAAAGTCTGGACCGAGCATTTGCTTTGTATTGGAAGAGACGTCCATTTGACCTCTCCAATTTTCAACGAAGTTTGATTTGGCTGCACCAAAACGGAAAGCCGTTTTTTTTTTGCTTCTCCAATTTTTGAAACTATCCGAATTTATACTTCATAGATGATTTTAAAAGTGGTTTTAGCTGATCTGACACCACGTTATCCACAGGAAAGGCAGATCGGATTATATTGATAGTTTGGCGGTTCATTACAACAAAAAAACGCATCGATTTTTTTTAGAAAAAATCATCCAAATACTTTTCTAGAAAAATATGCAAATAAAAATCCTAAAATTAGAAGAGAATAATTAATCCGTCAATGTTTTTTTTCTTACATCGGTCGTTCCCCACAAGATTTGGTAGCCTCCACCGTGTTTCCGTATTCCGTGCAAGCAGCTCTGCAACACGAACGTTTTACTTCGCCTCCGTCTCCAAATTCAGGGCTGCAGGGCTCCGGCTCCTTCAAAAACAGCTTTGGCTCTGGTTCTTCCGAAAAAGTGGCTCCTCTAAAGGAGCTGAAGCTGTTCTGAAAAACGTTTAACAAAACGGCTCCTCCTATTTTTCTAGAATAGGTGAAAGATGGTAAATGTCTATAATACCCCTACTTATTATTTTACTATGGTGTAGGTGTAGTAAAACCCAACCTAGAAAAATTGGTTTTACTTTTTTTTATATTTGTGTGATTTATTATATATTTTACAAGCATCAGGTGATTTGATCCATTTCAGGAGGAAGCTAATAGTTGTTTTTTCATTGGGAACCTGATCTATTTCTAAATCATTGGCGCTATTCTTTATTTTCTTTCTCTCTTATATTTTTGCATTGGGAACCCTATCTTTTCTCCAATTCTTGCTAGCAGGTCCTCTCCTTTCTCTACGTAAAGGCACAAGAAAATGGGTCGGCCTCGCTGTGACGGATGATCGTCGCTTGAACCAGCGGAGGGCCATCGCGTCCTTTTGTGCCCTGACAGTATCTCTCCACCAAAATTGGCCCAACGGTCAACTTGTGCCTTGAGCCCGCATCCTGATCGGGGGCAATCAACCCTATATGGTTGGTGGAGCCCGTCGCACTACGCTATATAAAGAAGTGGGGGCCGGTGGCTCGCGGTACGAGGTTCACCGGTTGCCACAGTATCCCACCAATAGAACCCTAATCCGATCTAAGGGAGCACAGCAACGGCGGGAAGTGCCGCCACCGTCCTCCTCGACTCGCCGACGCTATCGTCACTGGACTGCGTCGCCCCTCTCCATCGACCCCACTCGACAACGCCTTCTTCACCAACACCATGGCTAGCTCCTCCGCCAATCCAGTGATGGTCGGTAACACATCCCCTCTCTTTAGTCTCTCCCTCTGTCTAGTTCATGATCTGTCATTTTATCCCGAATAGACGCATATACACCCAATGATCTACACCCAGTCAATCCACTAAGTCTATCAGCCCGGAGAAGCTTGGTTTTGTGGCTCCGCCTGCCAATGCATAAAAGGGCTCCGGCTCTTCCAGTGCTCCGGCGGAGGAGCCTTTATGCAAATCACCGTTTGGTACAGCTCCTGCAGGAGCCCTGCCAAAGAGGCACTCAGACAACGCAAAAGGTCAAAACTCGACAGCAGATTAGTACCAGTAAGGATCAAAGCCAATTCAAATGAGATAGGAGTAAACCATAAGCCCCGGCTCTACGTTGTTACAGTAATTTACACCGCTGTTCAGGCTGTAATTACATTACAACACCCAAAATGAAAGAAAGAACAAACGTAAAAGAAATAGCACGCTATCATACACGAACACGAGGGAGGCTGACTGTGAGCCTCACTTCATCGGACGTGTTCGGTGGGTCATCTCCTGGCCGGCTCGACCCTCTGCATCCTAATCTGCTCCCTGAACTTGGCTATGAACTCGTCGGCCTTCCTGTCCACCTCGTCCTCCACCTCTTCCATCTCCGTCTCCGTCTCCCCCTCCGGTCCCGGCCTCGTCGCCAGCTCAAACAGCTCCTCGTCGCACGAGTTGCCGTCGCCGTCCTCATCAACCCCGTTATCTTCGCAGCTGTTTTCCTCCTTGATGGTGTCATCGTCGTCGAGATCACTGCTGAACGAGCTGTCCGACGCTGCAGCCATCTCACCCAACGACAACGTCTCGTCGTCTGCTTCGTCGTCGATGGGCACTACAGGATCGTAGCGACGGCCGAAGGTGCTCCTCGTCGCTTGCACCGCGGATCTGGACCGGAACTGCTTGTTGCCCGCGCGCGTGGCGCTGTGCGAGCCCAGACTTCCGTTCGGGCTCCGGTTGCTACTAAGTGTTCCGAATTCGTTGAAGCTTCTCGCCTTGGCCTTCAGGAGGCTGCTGCGTCGCCCGCGGCGGCCGAGAAACGGCGGCGGCGGAGGAGGAGGCGGAGGCGGGAGCAGAGGCGGCGACGACGGCGAGAGGGTCAGGTCGGCGTCGAGGACGGAGGACGGCGAAGGGATGGCGTGATCGCGCACGACGTCGTATCCCGTTCCCGACTTGGGAGCTAGGAGTAACTCTTCTTCTTCCTCCTCCTCCTCAATGCCGCTGCCGTCGCTCATCATATCCCCTGCTGGTTCTGGTGTCGCCGCCGCCGCCGACTCCTCGCCCGCTGGTTTCAGCTTCCTGACGGGCAGGAGGAGTGGTTTCTCACCCGTGTCGGTGATGACGTCGTTGCCGCTGTTGGTCCCTGGCGCTGAAGTGTCCGCGACGACCACGAGCGGGTCGTCTGGAAGGTACTGAGAGCTCCACGCCTGCTGGACGCCACCGCCATCCTTGCTGGCTCCATCATCGTCGTTTTCCTCGAAGACCAGCGAGCCCTGCATCATCTGCGAGACGTAGGCCTCCACCGCCGCCTCGTTGTCGACGACGGGCAGCAGCTTGGTGTCGTCGGCAGCCGCTCCCGCCGCCGCCGCGGCCACCTCGGCGGCGTCTGCGTTCTTCTGGCCGAAGACGCCGTAGGAGATGATGATGCCGAGCAGGAGGAGGTGCGGCAGCTCCCAGATCCTGGGCGCCTCCGCCTGCCCCGACGGCAGCAGCGGCAGCACCACCACGAGCGCGAACAGCGCCGCCTTCGCGGCGAGGTTGGACGGGAACAGCAGCGCGAGCACCTGCTGCAGCCACGCGGACGCGGAGACGTCGCTGGCCGTCGTCGTCGTCGTCGAAACTACTCTAGCAGCCTGCTGCTGCTGCGCTGGAGCCGTGTCGGCCGCCTCCGCCATTGCGGACGCGCGCGAGGTTCGTGCGTGCACGTAGTCTCTGCGCGCGCGCGCGGGCTGTGTTTGTTCGGGGGCTCGATAGTCTGCTGCGATGACGTTGGAATTGGGAAGCTTTGGAGCGATAGATCCTTGGCTTTCGGGCGGGGAGAGGAAGCTACAAGACTTGGTCGTGAAGCATGCGACGAAAGGGAGGGAAAGAATTTGATCGCGGCCGAGCAGAACTGAGAGCAAGGGGAGCGGGCCACTGTCATTTTAAATCTGGCAGCAGGCCTCGCGCTCCCGGGGTGATTAGATGCTACTACTACTGTGGACGGAAACCGCAGGAATGAGCTAGATCAAAATGCCAGAATTAATTTGAGGAAAAGGACCTCTTGGGCACTTGGGACGTAGCATAGAGTAACCTCTAGAACTGCATGCACTGTATGGTCTTAGACTATTTAATTACGCTCTAGCTAGCGTCTAGCCTAGCCACCAAAAGATGGTGGAGCCGGCTGCCGGTGCATGGATGGTTGCCGGAGCACACACGGCACAAGGGCGGCGTCGCCAAGGTCAGACAATGGGCCATGCACGGCTCACCTGCCTCTCGATCGTTGATCGTTTATGCTTGGAGGATTATTCCGACAATCTCGTTCAGTGGATGTTTCTAGTAACGGAGGAGCATGCAGATCATCCTGATGTGCCGAAACAGGAAAGAAGCAGCTAGTCCACACTTCAGGACGCATTCATTGATCCTGATCCTGATCCTGATGATCCGGCGACGGCGAGCTCCAGAATCACAAAAGCTGGGGACCTAGGGTGCTGATACGCGCGTGTTGAAGCTCCTCTACCTGCTGCTGGCACAGAATATGCGTAGTTGGGTGCCCTGTACGGCCGTGTTAATTTTGAAGACTGCACAAGTTCCCATGGGCGTAGATACGTAGTAGATGTGATCCGATCCGATTTGCTGCTGCGATGTGCTTCGTCTTCGCCTCATCTGACATGTGAACGCCGGCTTTCTGAAGAGGTGTGTAGATTTTCAGGAAACGGAAAAAAGGCAGCTCCAGGCTTTCTGAGCATGCATGATGCATGGGTTATCCTTTGCTTAATTCTGCAGCTATCCTTTACCACCCCTGGGAAGGGGAGATTCTATGCGTTTCCTTTGTTCTGCTTATTTTTTTCTCCGGGAGGGTGAAGAATGTTGAAGTTACTGGAGTAATCAAGGGGGCAGTAATATTCGACCCCATTTCAGTTTGCCGCCCCCTCCACTCCAGTTGTCGTTGACTGGTCGTGGTACTGGTGGAGCAGAAGCGGCAGTAGCAGGCCACGAGCGCGCCTGCGAGAAGATATAATAACGATCTGGACTAGTGGACTGGGCCAGAATTCTTCCTTTTTTTTTTCTGAATGGTCAGTGGCCTAGAATTTCTTGAAATGGGCCACAATGTCTGTACTTTCTCTTTTAAGTATTTGGCCTGTTTATCTTTTCTTTCCCTGTAAACTATACTTGAGATTCAACCGTCACTGTACTTACTCACCAATCACCATACATACAGACTGCTCTTCGTCAGCGGAGATACCCTAGAATCAATGTTGTCATGTTGATGGAGCCTTTTTTCTTGGTCGGAAGGGCAGCGACCGGTGTCATTATCAGAAATGGCAGGGGGCTCTCCGTGCTAAGAGTTGGTGGTTTCTAACTCGTTGCAAAGATGTTGAAGGAGCGGATATATAGATCGTGATTTCATACTGGAGACGAAGTATGCCCCGGCCGTAGAGAAACTCAACTCGATCGTGCGCTAATAGGAGTAGAAATCACTAGTAGGATGCCCGTTAAGAGAGTTTGGCTCTTAGGTAGCCTGAGTTGGGCCAAAGTCGAGAGTCGACTCCTGGGTAGCCTGAGTTGGGCCAAAGTCGGGACAGGTCAAAATAAGATCATGCGTGAGATAACGCCAACTATATATATATCAAAATATATATATATATATGGAGCGCTCCCAACAGGTAACTCGGGGCGAACTCGGGGCCTCCTCTCGGCATGCCGCCGCCCTCCAGGCGTGGCGGCGGCGCCAACGGCGGTCCCAAAAAGCGGTGCCTATTTGCACTTCCTCCTCCCTCCGCCTCGCTCCTCCACCTCCCCCTCCACCCTCTTCACCTCCGGCGGCGTCTGGGCGGTGGTTTGTCGTCCGGTGGCGCCCTAGACATCCGCCCGCCCTTCCTCATCGACGGCCGGTGGTGTTTCATCCGGGCGGCCGATGGCGGGGCCTAGGCCACGCGCCTATGCACCGGTGCCCGGATCTGCTCCTCACGGTTGTTGGCCATGGCGGGCGGTCGGCAATGGTTTCGGGGTTTTTGCGGTTGCTGGACACCGCGGCGGCTAGATTTGGCGGGGAATCTTTCTTGGTCGGGCGGCCGGTTCTGGATGGTGGCGTGCTCGGATGCGCCCTACCTGGGACTTAGTCGCTACCGGCAGCTGGTCTCGCTATTGATTCGCGGGCTTAGGTGCTGCGGATCTCCCATGGTGTCAGATCGCTATAGGCCGCACTGTAGCTTCGTTTAGCTCTCTCGATGTTGGCGTGATCCGCTATAGGCGTGTGGTGCTCATGGTCTCTCGATGATGCGATGTGGTGGGCGGAGTGTGGTGCTCGGGCGAAAAAGCTCATCCCGTCTTTGCGTGGCGATGGTTGCATGGTTCGGGCGCCACATACCTCCTTTGGAGGTGTCATTGTTGAACCCATGCTTCATGTCGTCATTGCCAGATTCTAGGTGTAAGCCTTGCCTTAGAAGCTTCTAAGGCCAGTGCCGATGGTGTCCAGGGTGCTACCCTTGGGCGTCACCTCCTTCTTGAAGGCGTCGCTGAAGAATCGACTATGGCTCATCGCTTTTCCCTCATGTGGTCGTTGTCATCCGTGGTTGTTGCCGAGCCGTTGGATTCTGGTGGACCTCCTCGCTGTGCCTATGTGTGCCTTAATTCTACTTGCTTTGGTCTGTCTTGCTGCTCTTGATATTGTCATTAATTCTATCATTCTCGAGCGGATGCTTTTTGCATTGTCGTTCTTGGTCTCCTCTCCTCCGCAGATGCTTTTCCGCCGAGGGTGTCATGGTCGCTCCTCTGCACGCTTTGTTGTGGGAGGCGTCTTCGCTTTCTCTCGGTGGATACTTATTGGTCATCGATGAAACCCTTGACGAATGCTTTGTCGCTGTTGGCTCTTTGGTCCCCTCTCTGGTAGATGCTTTGCTACTAAGAGCGTGTGTGTGGGGTATCGACCCGGATACCTGACGGATGACTACATGGTTGTGCTGCCAGAGGCGGTCTAGCCCACAAGACGAGGACCTACGGTGCACGCAGATGATCGCTTTTGTGTACCGCAAGATATTAAGGCGATATCCTCAAGATTCTTCGTTGGATATATTCAATCATATAATTCGGTAGATGTTATTACTTACCAATTATCTCCTAAATCTAACCTACTTGTAACCCTACCCCCGACTATATAAGGCGGGTAGGGGACCCCCTCAAAACACACGCAATATCATACGATAGCCAATACAAACCAACAGACCACAGGAGTAGGGTATTACATCGTGCGATGACCCAACTCTCTAACTCTTGTGTCTCTGTTGCCTTCTTGTTCTTGATTACGCGCACTCATCGCCGATCAATCTACCTTCGTGGATACCCTGAGGATCGCCGACGATATTCGTCGACTTCGGGCCCACTTCTTGGCGGATACTTGGCCACCATGGTCGCTTGGTCTTCACTGGCGGATGCTTTGCCGCCGTTGCTACTGGAAGTTGATGTGTCTTCTCTGGGTGGATGCTTTGCCACCACGGCTTTGTCTTTGTTGTGGGCAACCTTAGCATTGATTACTTTTTTATTGCGAGCACAGTTGTAGGTCTAGGGTGTTAGGCTTTTTTTCTAGGGTTTTATTGTTTCTATGTTTATTCTAGGTCACTCATTATTATCTTAGTGGTTTATAATTTTTGAGGGTTGTTCATAGCTAATGTAATTTTCTTAATAGGCTATATCACGATCGAGAAAATAAATTATATACATCTCTTATGATCCTAAAGTGGTTTTATATATCAACATACAAGTTGTCCATCTCATTGATATACTATCACATGTAATTAAAATCAATTAGGATTCAATTGTAATGTCCATAAGACATAGCGGGCTGTTGTCCATATCAACCTGACATACAATTTCCTAAAAATGCATATATATGCTCTCCTAAACTATGATGCCTAAATTCTTTTTCTAGTTTATATCTATTCAAGCATACAATGACTCTTGTCCATGTTTTAATAAAGGGGAATATGAGCCATTATAAAAGATTGTAATTAAAATCAATTAGTGGAATTATCGCCAATTTTTTTGTCTCATGCCCACTTTGTTGTCGAGACATATAAGCGGTTCAACATTAGGTGTCCATATCAAAAATACCATTAGGTCTACATATGTCATTAATTTTTGAGTATTTTCGATTCAAATGCAAAATAAAAGTTTTAGATTATGAGATCTTTTCATATAAATTATCTTCATTTAATTCTGCAAAAAAAGATATGATTTGATATGATTAATATATCTTCATCAGTGTTAAATGATTTTATATCAAGCACTGGTTTGTTTTGAGTTTTTCCATTTGAAGTGGTTTGTTTTAAAAAAGCTCTCGTTTGAAGAGGGTATTTTAACACGTTTGTCGCGAATTTATATAGAGAGGCAAAAATGGGTGGCAATTTTTTAGTGGTTCACAGGAATTTCTTTTTAATGAGGGTAGTCTTCTTTTGAAATTTTAACACGTGTCGCGAATTTATAATGGGTGGCTATATGTATTCCATGAGTGTAGTCTTCACTGTAATTTTTCCAAGGCGCGTGCCTGTCCATGGCCCGTGGATGCCATGTCAGCGGGTACATAATGTAATCACACACGGTACTCATCGTCCTCTTGCAGCTTGACCGTTGAATCGGCCTGCTCATTCGTCAAACACCGTTGCACCAGTAAGCACCTCTGCAGGACGACTTTTAAAACCCATGAGACAATACACTTAGTCAACAAGTCAGTGGTACTTATGCACTATAGTTTCCTTTGTTTTGTGGATAAGCTGGTGCAGATATATTCAACATATGTTTCGTCGCATTGCCGATAAGATACGGAACGATATGTTATTTAGATTTTAATGACATGGACAAACTTAGTTAGGTGGAGCAGTGAACAATGACCAGTTAAGCTTCACAAGTATAAATATTTCTTTTATAAGGATGGTTTACTTAGCAAACTTAGTTTGTAACTAGCTCCGAGAGCTATGAAGCTTATAAATCATCCCCAAAAATATATTTTTAGGGACAGTTCTGTTAAGTAAACCATCACTGAAAATATATCTATTTTCAAGGACGGTTCAGGATAGTTGCTTATGTCAACCGTATCTGAAAATACATGATTTCTATGGATGGTTGACTTAAGTTAACCACCCCAAGAAATCAATTTTCAAAGGCCATCATAATGAATAAATAAAAATATCTCTCAAATCTACATATAAATGTTGATATAAGCTATCGTGAAAATAATTTAATATACATAAGTATGCTATATATATTTTCAAATTACACACATCTATCATGGTGAAATTAAAAGTAAGAATAGTGTCATGTTCCATAGTGTAGACCAAGTAAACATGTATATATCAGGATAAATATTTAATTTAATAGTTTATCAAACATAGAAAAATGTACCCTTAACAAACTATATAGAAATGACATTGCAATTCACTTTAATTTATACACCCATGATAATAAATTGCAAAGTTATTATCTTAAATTAGTCTATACATTTGAACTGAATCATTTTTCTAGATTAATATTGGTAATTTAATTTTAAGCACTCTTTGTTTCATAAAATATATCTACTACACATATGATTCTATAATATAACAAATTATTCAACATGTTGAGTATCATAGCGTAAGAACCAAGAGAGAAACCTAGTACCTATAATCTTTTTGAATCGAATAAAAAATGAAAATTTTTAAATACAATAAGCACTAGAGTTTCAACTTAACATGGAGATACAAAAACACAGCAACTAAACTTAAAGTTGAAAACAAAACAATATATTCATTGTATCATAGAAAGGGATGCAATAAGAGATTATATAACTTAAACTTAGATATATCATACTAGAAAATAGAAAAAGATGTAAATCCTAGAAATTCTAACTCTAGGTTCTTAATGGAGCATCCATGTTAATCCTCATAAGGCTTGGTAGAAAAAAATAATCCTAGAGATTCTCACCAAATTAAAATCAGAAACATCAGGCCTTCAATTCTTCAAACTCTAATCACCATTGATGATAACAACCATTGGCTCTATTCTATTTTACAAATAACTATCCAATTATGTGATTCTGTAAAGCAGCATAAGGTAACCCATTAATATGTGTTTAAATTACCCACTTATGCCATTAAAAAACATCATCTAAAGTAAAACTAAATTTGCATCTAATTATCCAAATGCTTATGACAGATAACATACGTAACCTCATAAATTTGCATCTAAAATACCACTTTGGCATTTTGAAGGTACATAACGAGGTGCCATGCAAATAGAAAAAGAAACTATGGTATGGAACTATATAAAGACTACAGAATTTTTATTTTGACTATTGTGTTAGAAAAGAAACAAAAAGAAAACATACAATTTAAAATAAGTATTTTTTTGGTGAGAGGTATAGTATTAAAAAATGCACGCGTTGATGGATTATAGTGAAAATTGATAGGCCACGCGCTGGATGCCAGCGGGCCAGCGGGGTTCATATTTTACTTTTACGTTACGTCGTTACCTACCGAACCGGTCTCTCGTTCGTTCACTGTTCTGACCGTTGAAGAGTGGCTCATTGGACTGATGTCACTGCACAGGTAGACACCTTGGCAACTGGCAAGAGATATACTAGCAGTACGTACTTCTCCGGTTTCCTTAATTACTACTACTTGTAGTGAACACGAAGTCAATTTTCCTCCTCGATTGTTGGCAGGTGAAGTGAAGATTCATCCGTGTTTCCAAGTACGTAGCTGCCACTTGCCCAAAGCCTTATTTAGAGACGAAGTTATTATTTGTAAATCGTTGCTCGCAAAAACGCGGGCGCGACGCTTCGACTCGACAGTGACACGCTTTGACGACGCGTAGCTACTCGCTTGCGTGGGGGATGAACTCTATAAAACCACCGATACAGCTGCCTACTGCTCTCTTGCACTGCTTACTTTCGTGCTACGTACATACGTGGATAGGCGAGCTGCTCAGCTAGTAGCAACGACGACGACGGAGCGCTGCGACGGCTGCGTGCGCGACAACGGCAACATGGGCGTCATCGGCGGCGGGAGGACGGAGGCGATCATGCGCGAGATCGCGAGCCTGCGCGCCCAGCGGGACGAGCTGGACAGCCGCATTCGCTTCTTCGAGTCCCAGCTCCGCGTCGGCGGCGCCGCGCCGGCGGCCACGCTTCCTCCCAGCTTGTCCACCAAGCTCGACGCCATGGGGTGGCACGCCGCCGCCGCCCAAGGGGGCGGCGGCCTGAGCCCCGACATGGTTAGACGCTACAGCCGCCACCTCCTCCTCCCGGACTTCGGCGTGCAAGGTTAGTCCAACCTGCAATTTGTTAAGTTATATTTCTACGATGATCGATCTATTGCCTTGCTTGCTCGTTCCCTGGTCGATCGATCGACAATTTGACATCAACACGTGAAGCTACTAGCTAGCTTGCATTGCGATGTGGGACCAGTGGGTACACAGAATAGAAAATGGGTTTTCTTCTTGTTTTTCTGAACAAAATGGCATGGATGGCAGGGCAACGGAGGCTCTCTCAGTCATCAGTCCTGGTGGTCGGAGCCGGAGGCTTGGGCTCGGCCGTAGCATTGTACCTGGCTGCCTGTGGCGTTGGTAACTAATAAAAATGTCCCAATGTTAATTTCTTTTTTAAAAGTTATTTTCTTTTTTTACTACTAATCAGTGTAAGTACTATAAATGTTCCCTCATACTAGTAGCTCAGTTTTGCCGACTCTTTTTCCCTATTACTAATTTGATAATATCTATTTATTAGGCTCTCTAGGCATTGTTGATGGAGACGACGTTGAACTTGGCGACCTCCATCATCAGGTAACTGTGTGAGACGCACTGTACTTCATCTATGTCTATGTTGTCGTTGTCATGTACGTTACCGCCACAGGTACATTACCGCCTATGGTGGGCACGTATCGCGTGGACTACTAAATTCAGACTAATAAGTCAACAAGACAATAAATTGTTTGACAATTCCCACCATTGTTTTCTTATATAAGCAAAAATAAGTGCCATACTTTTTTTTCTCTCTTCTGCTTAGATTCTTTGTCTCTGTTTGCCTTCCTTTTCAGGTCATACACGTAGAAGCATACGTTGGGCAGCCTAAGGTGAAATCTGCAGCAGCTGCTTGCCGGGCGAAAGAGAGATAGTCTACCATGCAAGCTATCTTTCATTCGTTGTACTATATCTCAGACCTCTTATATATGTGATCAATGACTCGATTTTTTCCCTCTAAATCAGGATTAACTCCTCTGTCAACGTGTTGGAACATCATCTCAAACTGAAATCAAAAAATGCTTTGTATGTTGTGAAGCAGTATCCTTGAGAATGTGATATAAGAATTTAAATTCCCCACCTTTGTTATTGTTGTAAGCTTGTTTTCGATACTAAATGATCACAGATATGACATAGTTGTTGATGCAACAAACAGCGTTGCTAGTCGGTACATGCTCAGTGATTGTTGTGTCCTTCTCAGCAAGGTAACTAATAGTATACTGTACTTTTGTTGGCAACAATACATATATTACCTTGAATTGAAATCAACCTTCCCACCAAACAAACTTGACAGTTTAACATTTGGAGAGGTTCATACGTCTCGTTTAATTTGTTAATTTTAGCTATACTAAACAACTGAATCTTTATCAATTTTAATCTTTTCTCAAAGTAGTTTTTCACCTATTGTGTGCTGATTTATTGCCATATACTCTTCAGCCTCTCGTATCCGGTTCAACAAGTGGTCTAGAAGGACAGGTAATTCTTGTTGTCTCAAAATGGCTTACATTTAACCTTACGAAGTTAATGCTCACTTTGTGACACACTTTAAACTTTTAACAGTTGACGGTTTATAACCATAATGGAAGTCCATGTTACCGGTGTCATTTTCCAAACCCAACAGCATGCCAGAGTAGCTCTACTAATTGTACTCTTGGGGTTGGTAAGTTATAAAATTCTCTATATATAATACCCAATTAATTCCAAGATACATAATTCCAAGAATAGTTTTGGCTTTTCTAGGTACATAACTTTTGATATTTATTTAAATATACACTATATATGTCTAGATACATAATAAAACTTATGAATCTAGAAAAGCCAAAACAACTTATAATTTGGAACGGAGGGAGTATAATTTAGGTGTTTCAATATTGAACTGCACTGCACCCTGTTAGTGGATCTATGTTGATTATTTTTGTTCTAGATAAAACACACATATTGCTGAGAGTTGCTTTAAGACGCTGATGTGTGAAACACATCCCTTTAAATGATATGCGTTGAGTACATTTATATGACCATATTGTCTATGCATGATCTAATAATTTCCCTTGTATTGTTCAGTTCCAGGAGTGATTGGAAGCCTACAAGCTCTTGAAACTATAAAGGTTGCAACTCGTGTTGGTGAACCCCTTTGTGGAAGAATGCTACTCTTTGATGCATTATCCTCCCGTTTTAAGACTGTATGTCACTACATTCTGTGCATTTACAGTTAATAAACCATGACTCATCCTAATTTAGCGTGAACTACAATTGCTGTTTGACTCATAAAGCTCATGCACTGTTGTCTACATTATTGTTATGCAGGTTAATAAGATTCATCAAAGGTCATCAACTTGCACAGTTTGTGGAGAGAATTCTAATTTGACTCAAGACACTTTTGTTATGTTTGATTATGATAGTTTCGCACAATCTACAAAGTCTAGCAAGGTAAACTACATTTTCTTTGTAAATAGCAATTAGCTATAATGACCACTTTCATTTAAGGTTAAGCAACAATACCAAGAACATATAATTTATACCTTAGAAATTCCACAATCTATGTATCGTCACCAGTATCTGTTATACACACATATATAACATTTGTCATGCTCCGGCTAATTAATGTCACTAGCTCAAATGTAGTATACCCAGCATTATTGTGGATCGAGCCACTATCAGATACAGTTTGACAAATTTGTGACCTGACATGTATGTAAACTACTACAATGCAGCCGACGGCAATCCAGAACCCGCTCCCGAAGAACGCCCGGATCACCTGCATGCATAGAATACAAGGGGGTGCTCGACAGCGGCAGGGCTCACCTGCTGCTGGACGTGCGGCCGGTGCACCACTTCCAGATCGCCTCCATCGCCAACTCCGTGAACATCCCGCTGGACGAGCTGCAGGAGAGGCTTCCCCGGCTCAGGGACGCTCTGAGCGAGGTGGCGGACGTGTCGCACGGCAATCACCGCCCCCTGTACTTCGTCTGCCAGTGTGGCGATGACTCCCTGGCGGCCGTCGGCATACTCCGGGAGAATGGGTTCCCTTACGCCAGTGCTATTGCCGGCGGCCCTTGAGTGTTGGGCGCGAGAAGTTTTTGATCCCGGTTTTCCTGTGTACTGGTGATTACTACTACCATAGACTGACTGGGCTGATGTAGGATAGTGACATAGTCTGTGGCTATCAGGGATGAAAACTGCACCTTCAGGGCTTGTTTAGAAACATAGGGCGTGATTGGTTGCTCCGAGGCAGGTCATTAGGTATGAGGCCCTGTCTGGGCTCTTTCCAGCCTAGATGAAACGGTTCACCCAACTTTATTTGGTTGCAACTTTTGGGGACATACTGAAGGACAATCATCTTGTTTGGTTGCCCCTATGGATTATTCTGTGGTACGAATTAGTGCTCTCCTCCTTGTTTGGTTGGCCGCACGGTATAAGGTGCCAGCACCCAGGTAGCGTTTTGGTGAGGTTACCACCATTCTCAAGAGAACAACAAGAATACAGGAAAACACGGACGTTTTTGCCTCAGTTCACCGAGCCTTGTTATTGATAATGACCTTGGAGCATCTAATGGCATAATTAAACCATACAACAGTAAACCCATGTAACTGGGATTGATTGATTGCCCGACTTAATTAAACCATACAACAAAAGGTCAGCTGAAATGTCACAGTACCTCACAAGGTCACTGTCATTACATTTGTCATGGCAATTTGCAACCATCACAGGCAATTCAAAACCATGACAGGGACTTCTACCAATGCTTAGCAATGTAAAAGATAAGCACGAGCAACAGAAACGACTGAACCAAAGCAACAACCAATAAGCAAGGTGTTTTAGTAACCCCACTGGAAGGAGGCTTTACAAACACCCTGCTATCCATTGTATCATCAGAACAACCTTTACAAACACCCTAATTCATGGCACGGCAAACAAAATCCACAGATAAATCAACAAAATCGACAAAGATCAGAGGAGGGGAAGGGCGCAGGTGACATATACCGTCGATGCACCGGTGGACCAAGAGGAATCTGTGGGACATAGTCCCCGGGTACCCCACAAGGAAGGGAGAAGATCTAGTCCGACTAGAAATTCTCTATATGTAATTCTACTAACATTGCTATCCTATAATCCTAATAGGACTCTTACATTGTAACCAACTAAGAGACTTGCCTCCTGAGATATATGAAGGTGGGCAGGGCTCCCTAGATCGGCATAACACAATAGGAACAGACCTCACGGTCTAAACCCTAAAGCGCATGGCCTAATATTCTATTTACCCCAGACTGGACGTAGGACGCTATTCCGACGGACCGAACCAGTATAAATTGTTGTTTCTACGCATTCACCATCGAGTTTTGCATACGCCGAAGCCCACCGAACACCGTCCCGGTATCCCCATGACAAGTTGCCGATCATCAAACACCGACAGAATCCGATGATGGTGGTCGCCTCGGTCGGTCAACCGAGGTCGAGCAAAAGGAAGAGGACAGGGCGCACCAGAGGAATAGAGGAAGGAGAGGCGCGGAATGGGGGCGGTAACCCTAGCCGTAGCCCGAGCACGCGCTTTTATCACCCAGACAGCCTCATCTCTCGCGCGCCGAGCATCGCGAGGTCCTGGCTCTGGAGGAAAGTGGGAATCGAGAAGACGGAGATGTGGGGGTGGTGGAGGGCAGATTTATGAGAGGAAGCAGGGGAAACAAACAAGGCGCAAGTGCACGGCGGGATGCAGGATGCTCCGGTTCAGGCAACCAATCAGCCCCATAGCAATCCTCTTCAATCTATACATGTTGGGAAGGATTGAGGTGAAAATTTAGTTCAATTTCCACTCGACTCCATATACATTGGGAGGAGGGATTGAGGTTATCCAAATAATGCCTCAGGCTTTCTTTCCACGGTTCAATCCGTTGCTTCTTGCTTTGTTGCGCGCGCTTGCACGGTTAATTTTCTCAGCCCGGGAAAGAGATCCCCAGACCCCAGCCTTTCCTGCTAGAGGTTACTCGTGCTTTCAGAAAGGAAAGACGAAACCGGAGTTACAGAGTACTACCAAAACCGATTCCATTTCTGTGTCCCCAGGAAAAGTAGAAGGTGGCCTACTGGCCGCCAGTTCTTGTTCCGAAGGACAGTGCTGGATTTTTTTTCTTCTTTTTACATTTGGGCCTGCTGCCCTCCTTTTTTTTCAGGAAATTGGGCCTACCATCCTTTGGCCCATAAGCGGTGGCAACTGGCAAGAGAGTAGTGAACAGCCTGGCAAAATCAGAAGTAGTAGCATGAACACTAGTTGACATGGCGGCGACCCATATTATGTGCTCCTGAAATGTTCAATATACAATTATACATTTCCATATTACGACAGTTACATATAACTGATCCGGGGAGGTCCAGAGAACTCATCTGCAGTAGTTTTGACTTGTCATTGCTCGTTGATTTAATTTGATTTGGGCTCCAGCAGAGCAGCAGTGCAGAGACAGTACCACGACCAACCATGTGACGACCCTGTCTCCTGCGAATCATTGTGCTAGCCAATCTCGCAAAAGCGCGGCGGGGCGCCAATGAGTGTGTATAGTAGTAACACACAGCACTGGCTAATAATAACAAATTTATTTATTTATACTATCCTCCAAGCTTAGATTAGCATGCAAGATGATGCAACTTGGATGCAGTTCAGTTCAGGCTTCAACAGAGAGAAACTAACCCCAGCTTTTGCTCCAGAAGTTACGGTGGGCGTGGCGGCCAAAGCCCTGGCATTCGCGATTCGATTCATCGTCCCTGGATGCCTGAATCTCTTTGTCCAGGTTTGCATGTCTACAAAGCCTGGAAAGCTCAGGTTATGAGGCTATCTGCCTGCCTACCTACCTGCTGTGGGTTAAGTTGGTCACGCACACGATGCGCAGCGCGATGGAGAGGAAGCTGACGATATCCCGACCAAGAAACCTGCCGCGCCCGCGCGCATTGTTTTGTTTCAGTGAAGAATATTCATGCACGTTGGGGACAACTCCTATACTATGTTAGAATAGAATGGTCGTTCTTGCCCACATTTCCGTGCTGTGGTAGCACTGGGCACCGAATAAAGTGGCGAAAATGCAGCGAATTGGCCAGAGGCGACGTAGACTGCTACGTATCTAGTAGGAGATGAGAGAGATTGATCGGTGTCAATGTGACATGCGTGCGCTTATTATGATTTGGATTAGTTATTCCCTGCCGGATTTGTCTTCGTGTACACCCTTTCCAACCTGCGATTTTATGCCGCGTCTTGATCATGGGAGCGACGCAAAATTAATAACGAAGTAGTAACCACAAACACCTGCTATCAAGGTTTGTGATCATGTACAATTTAACGGCTAACCTCATTTAGATTCGCTATTAGCTATTTGAGAGGCCATCCGCTAAATGCCTGAGCCGAAGGTTTAAAACATTGGCCCTGTTCGCTTTACTGAAAAGTCATGGCTGAAAGTACTGTTCGTTGATTTATTGTGAGAGAAAAACACCGTTCGTTCGCTGAAATAATACGGCTCATAAGATAAGCAAACAAAGCTATTGCCCGCTATGGATATAAATAGGCTTTTGGCCCATATAAATATTTTAGTTATTCTAATTAGATCTAAAAGACTTTGACCCTATTTGGATGGGGACTAAGACTAGTTGTTAGTTTGGAATAGGACTAGAACTAGTTGTTAGTTGGGTAATAGTTAGCTGGCTATAAATTAGTCCTGTGTTGTTTGGATTCTAGGGGTCCGTTCGCTTCGCTGAAAAAACAAGCCGAAACACTGTTCGACTGAAAAAATAAACTGAAAAAGACGGATTATAAGAGAAATGAACTGGGCCTAGGACTAATGGATAGTACTGTTTGCAGGCAAAGATATTTATATGTCCCCTTGCTTACTTGCACGCAAAGAGACTAGCAAAGGTGTTTCTGACTTTTTCAAGATTAGTTGCCCCTATTAGTTCTGATGATTAGCTAGGTTCTGCCAACTAGTGGACTAGCAACTAGCTAGAGACTTAGATAAAGATTAGTTCACCCATTAGCCTATCGGTTTGGGTTCTTATAGACTAAAAATTAGTCAACTAATAGTAGTTAGTTACATGGATTCAAACATGCCCTTATTCATGTATGCAAGTGGAGGAAGACTTGCTTAAATATGAAAGTCCCTCGATTTCACAAAGACACTAAGTCATGTATGGGTGAAGAGATGGAAACACTATAAAAGCATGTGCAGACCCATTGGCATCAAGCACGTGGTACTTTGCTGCAAAATAGTCCACTGAAATTTGGCATGTGATCTCTTCTTTTGCAGTTTTATATTTTTTAACCTGGCCTTTAAGACCTACGAGTTGGAAACCTAATTGGGTTATATATTGATCACAAAACCAGATTGTGTGGGGTTGTTTTTCTATATATACAACCTATCATCTGCTGTGGAAAATATATCTATTTGAGTTAGGATTTTACCTCTTTTCTTTGCTATGTTACCATTATAGTCTCTCTATCCGAGCATCTACGTCTACGTGCACCGGTGTGTAGGTCTTTAGAACCTCTCGCCCTTATGATTCCCGCGAGAGAGGGCGAATAAGGTTTTTTTTTGGAACCAGGAAGTGCCTCGTGCGATTGCTCGATTTCTTTACCACGACTCATCTTCCACCCAGCCAGGTGATGCCGTGTACCATCATCTTTATCGTCCGACTAGTTCTCGCCAACGTTATCGCTTCTCCACTACTATCCATGGTGACTTCCTCTGTAAATGAGAAGTACGCACATCGTGATCCGATCTACTATTTGTGTATACGTACTGTTTGCGATGTTGGTGTTTCATCTATCATGTTTATGAAAAAAATGTGCTAGTACGTGATTTCGTCATGGTTTAAGTTCTCGAAAAAAGTTCTGAAAAAGTTCTGAAATTGCCTAATAATTATCCAACACGAATAGCATATATACGGTTCCTAGGTTCCCAGGACTCGCAATCGACAGGACCAAATTAAATCCGTCGCTGACAGGGCCGGGCAGATTGCTTCTAATCTCCAGAATGTGACGCGTTGCTGTTCACACGTGTATACTCCAACAGCCATCCATGTCCAATAAT